TCCCAACTGCATGTTTGTCATCCTCTCTGGCTGTTCTTCTCACCGGTTCTGTGTCTGTGGCTGTCCCAGCAGAGGGGAGATGAAGGAAAAAGGCAATACCTGCAGGTCACAAAGGCAAAAGAGGAACTTTGATTCCTATCTGTGACTTTGGGCAAAAATTGACTCTCAAGAGGCCTAGATGAAACTTCAAATTATACAATTACTAAAAGAAGACATGAGATGAAATCTGTGGTTTGGGGTTGGGCAAGGATGTTCAGGTTTGTAACCCATGGAAATGATGATAAATTACATTTAATCAAAGTTTTTTGAAAACTGTGGCTCTTTAAAATACGCTATTAAGAATATATAAAGATAAGCCAGAGACTAGGACTAGGACAAAACATGTGAAAATCGTATATCTCAAAAAGGACTTGAACGTAGAATATATAAAAAACACCTCAATGTCAATAGTAATTGAAACAAAAAATTCACTTCAAAAATGGATGAAAGGTAGGATTTAACCAGACTCTCTACTCAAGATGACATATACAGTCAGAGCTAGCTTTAAGATATTGAAGTTTTGGAGCCCATGGATATGATGCCTTGATTCTTGTTGCCAACAAACTCCAAGCCTGCTCTACATTTTTTTTTCCCTTAACATGGGGAAACACAGGTGCTGGTCTACCTACCAGCTAAGCTGATTATTGATGAGGTCAGTGCCGGGGAAGAGAGAAGGTGAGTGGAAGGTCTGCAGCTACACTGACAAGCAAGTGACTGGGCCAGCAGCAGTAGCCCTAAGAAAAGGCCATGGCTGTTGTAAACTGCACAAACAGCCTTGGGGTTTTATCCAAAAGTGACTCCTTCCACGCAAAAGGTTAGAGTTGCACAAGAAATCCAGTGAAGCCACTGCCATGTTTGAGATTACTGAACCAGGAGCCATTTGGGAAGGGGTTCATTGTTTAAGAGTGAGTGAGAGAACAACTTTACTTCAGGGTTTCTGGTGACAGACAGCCACAGGAGACAGTTGTGGAGAGGGGATGGGCTAGATATAGTTCCCATGAGAAGTTTAAACTCAGGCCAGCAAGGCTATGGTGAGAAGTCAGGTCAATACAGGAAAAAAAGTCCTCCAAATACACTAGCAGCCTGAAGAGATGGGGGTGGCTGTGTTGGGTGGATAGGGTTGCTATGGACCTCAGCTTCACTGACGGGGAGGCAACAAGCACCCCTGTAGGCGCCCTTCTTCCCCTGTGTCCCTCAGGGTGTGCCTCCCTCTCAGGGCCTCTTGGCACCTTTTCTCTGCCTCCGTCTCTATATTCTACTCGTCATTTATCTTTGCATTTTTGTCTGTCTCTGAGTTTCTTCCTGTATCTGTTTCTGCCTCTGCCTCTCACCACATCTTTCCATTAAATATCATGCCTTTGAAATTTGGTGTGAACGTTT